TATGAGAAGACCCTAACTATTTACAGAGAGAATAGATTTCCTGTTCTTGACAGACGCAATAGGGCTTGTGGTATTCTTTACAAGCAGCATCCAACCAGTCTTTTCATCTTTTCCTCCATTTTGTTTTCCTATACAAAAATGTCAGATGGACCTCTACAAAACACGGCTACCCACTTAGGTTCTTTTGATATGTACTCTGCGGCATGAAAATGAACTACAAAGGCAGTGAATTGGTATGTTTGAGCAGATGCAACTGTAGCGAAAACATGGGAAAAATCATACAAGCATCCACTGACTAGAGCCATGAAACAAGTTACAATATTTGCTTACAGGACACTGCGGCATCCATCATCAATAGCTACATAACACATCTATTACACGACCAATGCACACGACACACTTCGTAAGCCTATTTATACTTTGCTTTCAATCACAGCGAAAGCAAGATGAATTTTTTGAATTTTTCTATAAGCCTGTTACCACTTTGCTTTCACGAATGTGAAATAAATTTTTGGAATTGTCCTATTTATATGAGTAAAAGCACCTGTTTAAGCCATTTGTCACATTAGTCCACACCTGACATTTGTGGCAGGGGTATCCCCCTTTTCTTAGATCACACCATTTTTCCGTTCTTCGTTTCCCCCCAAAGTTGCAGGAACTGTGGTGGTGTGCTCTATAAGTAAAACACTGCCACTTTGCCACACCATGTGGTTTGTTTCACCAGAAATGGGCCCAGACTAGTTTGCTTTTATATCGCATTTACAGTCCCAAAGATGAGGTAACGAAAAAAAATCAAAATTTTGTAAGCTTATCAACATTCCAGCATATCATCATGGAAGAAGAAAATACTGTTGCATAATGTGAAATTTACCTTATAAAAGAAAATCCTTTTTTTTTTAAAATTTACATAGAATCGAATCTGGTTTTGGGATCCAATTCAACAGATTCTTTTCTCATTTGTGCAAAAAAAAACAATCTAAAATAGCACATTAGGAGCATCAGAATGCCCAATTTTTCCAAAAATACCCCCCCCCTTTCCCAGCAAAAGAATCCAAAACAACCCAACTCACAAAAAAGCAAATAACTATATCTCTCCCCCCCCCCCCCCTCAACCCCTCCCAAAAAAAACGCCATTGCTGTATTGAAACGATTGTTATAGGGAAAAAAACACAGCCAGAAATGAGATAATCATCAACAATATTCAAACCAACAAAAGGGTAAGCCAAATTTTCTTTGGCAAATTACAAATTTGGCTGTCTGGACACAATACATAGATACACTACAACACAGTTAGACACGAAAAACTCAAACAATTGAACATTAAAATCACAGACGCTTTGAATAGTAACCCAAATTTTACCCATGTGGATCTTGGGGTTCAGTGACACAAAACAGGCCAGTATAGCACACAACTCTTGCAGTCCCCCTCAGACAAGCTGAGATTAGCCAGCAAGACAAAAGGTCGAACCTGCTCTAAGGGCCACCTGTAAAAGACAATCAGCTGTACAAACGGCCACTCACCATTTCCCCCTTTGCATTTTATAACATTACAAAGACACTGTGTAAGACGGCCACTTTTCTCCTCGATGGTCTGTGGCCGTCTTAGACACAATTTCGACAGTATTTCTAACCTAAGCCAATTCTGACTGCTGTACAGGTGTTGGGGGCAAGAGTATGAGGTTGAATTCTAGAGTCATTATTTTGCTTATCTCCACAAACACAAAGTATCAACTCGACATCAAAAATATACAGTGTCACTCACAGAAAAACTCAGTAAAAGATCACATCTTTGCTCAATTAGACAAAAGACAGAGAGAAACAGGCCTGCAACTGGTTAACTCATACATAACACCACAGCCTTCTGTCCTAAACAAATAACTCAGTTTCTGTACATTTCTGTCTGGTGATTTACAGACACTACACTTTTACACGGCACCCAAAACATGAAGAGCTCAGAAGAGGGAAAACAACATTTCAACAATAGGTTCAGCGCCAGCCCCCTCAGCCTACATGACCTGAGCACCTGACAACCTTTGGTAAAATTATTTATTTACACCAAGGATTGTCATCAAACTATGGCCCACAGGCTAAAACAGGGCTGGGAGGTCAGTCCACCAGCCTACTGCCATGCCACCATGCAGGAAAAGAAAGTTGGAAGATGTATTTGTAGCATGCTCAGGACTTGATCACCAAAATAATTCATACAGTGCATCCTCTCTATAACGACATTGTCGGGACCATAAAAAATGTTGTTTTAGAGAGTTGTTGTTAGAGAGAAGCACCCAAAAATATTACTTATGATATATAAAGAAAAATCCGGACCTGGGCACCATGTAGCTATACAGAGGATGCCGTTGTATAAAGGTCGTTATAGAAAGGCTGCACTGTATATAATCATTTCATTGAACTCTACACTGAAAATTAGTCAAGCTTTTAGGAAGATCATAACTTCAAGGACAAAATGTATCACACTCTTGCTTAGCTGAACGAGACAAATCTTTCATTTAGCACATCAGTGTCTCGTATTGACCAAAACAATGATCTGGCCCACAGTCAGCATTCTTTTAGTTACCCGGCCTACTTTGTAAAAAGTATGGCGACCCTTGGTTTACACCACAATACCATGCACAGTCGAGCTCTCATTGAGTAGAAGGGTCAGTTTGAGTTTGAGGAAAGAGAAGCACACTGGCACAATAGGTCATTTAGTGCAGGGAAGAAGCAAGACAGATAGACAGAAACAACAGAGGAAAAGAAAAGGAGTAGGACCTACCAGTGGCACTCTCCAACCACCAATGAAGGGTCAGAGGAGTTAAAGGCCCACGTCCTTCAGAAAAAGAATAAACTGAAGAGAAATGTGGCACACTACAGCAGTAAAGGGAACTTATTGCACACATAATATGTCAGGTGACACACTGGTGATGATGACCGTGATGACTAGACCTTTATACGAGATTTGTCCACAGACTTATGAAAATACTAATCAGACTTGGAGAGAAACGACTAAAGACGTGAAAAGCATTTCTCAGACTTCACATGAACTCAGAAAAATAAAAATGATACATTTCATTACAATGGTATGCATAAATGAGTCAAAAGAGGAATGGTTTTTCAGCATTAAAATCAAACTGAAACATTCTATAAACAGAGTAGTCCTTTCTGTCTGAAAATAACAGCAGGGGAGGGGGGGGGAGCAGTAAATCAAAGAAATAAATTATTGTAAATTACACAACGTATCATAACATATGGGAACCAGGCGCTCATAAATTTTAGGCCATATTGAGTTATTAAAATCATCTTAATCCTTGCTCATTTGTCTTGCTTTCAGTGTGTAAAAATGCCTGTATCTTGAATAAAAGTCTAGATATTTGCAATTGAAGGAGGTGGGGGCTGCCTGGTGTCAGAGATAAAATTGGCAAGGAAATGGCCACCAAAGTTTGGTGACTTCCAAAGCCTAATTGTCCTTGGAAACTGCAAATATAGGGGGGGGGGGGGGGGGGTTGGTACCTTTCATTAAACATTTTTCAGTAAAATCAACATCGATGTATTCTTAAAAGGGCATAAAAGATGTTGAGCCCAAAACAAAACCAAAAATTGATAAAAAATTGGCCAATGGGCGGTCAAACGTTGGTTTCTTACATTTCATTACGTTGACCAGAGCCTGATTTCACCATGATGCTACACAAATACCCCCTGCCCCCTCCACACACACACATACACACACACACACACACACACACACACACACACACACACACACACACACACACACACACACACAATTTAAATCATTTAAAAGGTGACCTTCTTTAACCTTGTCTATCTCGTTGAACTCAGTCTGATTTGGATAGTGGGTGGTTGGCGGGTGCTCTGGTGTGGTTTACTCCTTCTTTCCTATCAAACACCTATCGTCTTTATCTCCCCTTCTTCTTTTTTATGTTTGTTACTCTCTTGTAACACTTCTAATCTTCTGGCGATCATATGACCTTATGCAGAAGCAAGCGCCGTAAAACCTCTACTAAAACTAAAACTGATTTGGGTACAGCATCTCAGCGAACAGACCTAAAATCCTCGAAGAAATAATTTCCCGACTCAGGAAAACAATTCACATTTTCCGCCGGCATGGGGAATAGTCTTATCCATTACATCACAGGTTCTTTTCATACAAGGTGAAGCAGGCAAATAATAAATATACATCTAATCTCAGACAACAGGAATAGAACAGACAAAGCTTTTTCAAATTAAAAACTTTCCACAACGCGTCAGAGTTACATTTTGCCCTGATTTCAAGACGAGTGATTATCAGATCACAATTAACACACATCCTTCACAACTAAATATATAAATAAAAATCCAAAGGTTTCAGTTTGGTTTCATAAAGAATGTGGTTCAGAGAAATAAATAATTGCACAACACACCTCACTGGGACAAAAACAAAATACCCCTAAACACGGAGGTACAAACACTACCAAACCTCCTCTTACCGTGATGTAATAAGTAATATTTATCATGTCATGACTTAATTGCAGAAAGTCTGGAACGCACATGTAAAAAAAAAAATCCAGCCATTTATTTTAAATAGAAGCAGGTATGGTATGAACTCAACTCAATATGATAAAAGGTCCGTTTCATTCATCTTTCGGTTATCGAGCAATACGGTTAAATTATTAATTTATTCAAGACTACAACTGAATGCCCAACTCTAAAATCACTTTGCACTTAAAAACACTTAAAAGTTTGAGACAGATTTGACTAACTGGTCCACTGTAACATTTTGTAAAAGACACAAAAATATCTAAAGAAAACAAATCCTTACACAAAGGAACCTGCACCTTATGACATGGCCTCTTCAATATTTCATGGAATCTTGATACTTCAAACAGGGTCTATTTGTCTGTATTCATGTCTATTTCAACTTCTATGTGGTGTAACTATCATTATTATTACTACTCCAACATCTGCTTCAAAATAACCATTATTATTATCATTATTATTATTATTACTTTTATTCATAATCTTTATTGGCTTTATCATTATAATACTTGTTGACAGGAATTTTGCCACTGAGCAACCAATAAGCATACTTCATATTTTTTGGCGCACTGATTTCAAATCTGACAAACATTGTTTTCTCTCACGTCAGGATTTTTAGCTACCGTATCAGCTAATTTCATTTTTGTCATTTATTGATATATTTGAGAGTTGTTGTGTCTGGATCGCTAACAACAAAGTTGTAGTGTGAAGTCGAGTGACAAACTAAATCCACTCGAACCTGCAGCTTGTAAAGCATTCAATTAGCATGGGGAAAACTTCCTTGGAAGTCCCGGGGTTGACCTTTATATGGTCACTTTTAAGCACAAGGGGGCTATCCCGAAAAATGCTTGCCGTTTTGAGAAAATCGAAGGTAAAGTTTTTGCCACTTGTTTAGTTTCATTAAAAAACAGGGAGAGCTTTCTCTATAACTAAACAATTATACACACCAATGAAACCAAACTTCTCATTTAGCTAGGACAAGGCCTAATTTTGGTGTAGGTCAAGATTTCTGGAAACCCCCGAAATCTGGGTTAGCCCGCTCATCCTTAAAAGCAACCATATTAATATTATTCTGACTGACGCAAAAATCTGTTAAAAATATAATAAAGAATAGGCATTCCAATTTCTCTTAAAAATGCACATTTCTGCACTCGCATCTTGAATTTTTTTCTCTCCCAATCTTGGAAATACACAGGAATAAAATGGTGTAATATTTCATCAAGATAACATGGGGAAGGAGATATAATGGGTTTCTTCAGTGCAAAATGGGTACTGCTCACGAGCAAAAGTGCAAGATCCTTAAAGCATATCTGACTCGTTCCAATGATGTTTCTAATTTGTACGTATTAATGTTGTTACACAATTTAAAAGCTACGGACCTTTTCTCACATTTTATCACTTAAAAAATCGAAAATAGTAATAAAAATGTAACTAAGGTTTACTTTTCTTCTCACTGGTAATCTTTATATCAGTGTTAGATCAAGTAAAATCGGTACTCAGAATATCACTAAAACCTGACACACAAGCTAAAAAATGACTGCACACCTGAAATCAGCAGCCCAAAATTACTTGAAAACTCACAATATCTCTCAGTTGGCAGATGAAAAGTAGAAATTTGTTGACCAGTGAATTATTATCATTATTGCTATTACTTTCACTATTATTATTATCATATTATCTAACTTTGAGGCAAAATGTGGCCCCCTTAATTATAAACTAGGATTTGACCAAATCTTCCCCCCCACCACAGACTAGCGTGTAAGTACGTAAAAAAATATCAAGGCAGTCTGTCTAGGCTATACTGACATCTTCTGTCAAAGAAATTGTTTCTGTATTATATCAAGATCTCAACATATCACAAAATAAAGTCATGACTAATGTTTGACTATGGATTTGTTCAAATGCAGTTTTTCTAAACACATTAAAAATAGACCTACATTATCTCTCTATATACTGAACATATGTCTTCAGCTTCATTTTTTTTACTCATATTTATTCAACTTCTATAAAAGCCTTTTGACATTTTGCTAATACATGAAGATCTAACTTTATCCCGTGAGTATGAGTACCCTACAATACAAGTAAAACAAAGTTAAATCTGAAAACTGCTTCATCAAAGAAAGAAAACCAAACTAAAACACCCCATACTAAAAACTAATAAGACACTAAGAGGGTATACATTAAGAGAATGTCCATCGTCAAAGTCAGACTCTAACCACGTATCTGTCAAACTACGTTAAATACTTTTTCTGTCTCAAATTAAGTTATTTACAATCACAATTACAATTGGTTATACTATTCTGGGTTTTAAAAAAAAAAATAACCTTCATTCTTTTTCATTTTTCTTAAAAACAATGTTCACACACATACACGGAAAAAGCCTAACATCGATAATATGAAGCTGAGAAAAATGTCACCGATTGTCTTTAGTACTGTTACTGTGACAACCTCCTCCTCCCTTTTCCAATTTGTGGTGAACACTGCTCCTCAAGTTTGGCAGCTACCTACATTATATACCCCGGCGGCAAATTCGTTCCTTTTGATTTATAACGTACATTGAAAAAAAGGGTTTTGATCATGAAAAGATTGCCTACAAAACGTACGCCACACCGGAAAGAAAGCTTTACAACAGTACAATGGTAGTACTGGCAAATAAAAGAAAAAATCAAATTACACATTGAGCAATAAAACCATACTCAGCAGCCAAACAAACATTCTATCCAAAACATATGCAGTCAAGTCTTATTATACATGTGTACCTTGATCCAGCTGGCAACATCACAAAATATATACACACTCCTTTGTTTCGAAAGCTCTCCAATGTTCAAATAATTCGACCAAAAGACATACTCTCTTCCTCAAAGAAAAAAATACGCTCAACCATGAATTAAAATCATGACCGCAAACCTTCCGGGCCCAAAGACTGGACATTATTCAGACTAAAACCTTGAGCATATATTATGAAAAATGCTTTCTTAATATTCCATTCCTTGATCGTACTTGAGTTTATATAACGGATTGATCCCCTCCCCCTGACCCTCAGCACCGAACAGAGATTTAGACGGCTGACTTTTGGATCTTTCTCTCCCTTCTCTCAGCCTCCTGTCTCCCTGTCCACTGCCCCTCCGGTCTCCCCTTCCTTCCAGCTGTTCAACAGGTCTTCTCTCCTGGCCAGAAGACGTTGCAAAGTCAGGCCAGTACGTTCTGCTGGGCATGTCTACGTTAGACTTTGCTCTTCTCCGAGAATCCATTGAGCCCAGCTCTTTTTCAGCTTGTTCTTCACGGGAAGATCTTCGATGCCGGCCAGGAACACGGTCAAAATCATCAGACTCCACCCTAGTAGAGCTTGGGTAATCGCTAGATTTCCGACTCCCTGGAAGCACCTCATATGCCTGCGTCTGCTGCTGCTGCTGCTGCTGAAGCTGTTGCTGCAGTAGCAGTTTCTGCCGTTGTTGCATCTGCTGTTGTTCTTTTGGGTCCACCGATTTAAACATACTTCGGATTTTTGAAGTGAACGGGTTTGAGCTAGTGGCATTGGTATTGGTGTTGACGGCCCCACCATCGAGGGCCTCATCCCCACCAAAACTGCTGCTCCCTTCTGCAGACTTCAGAGCTCCAGCACCCATTTTGTCCAGGGAGTCGGCATTGACCATTTTGTCCAGGGAGTCGGCATTGACGTGATAGTCCCACAGCTCCACAGCACTGTTGCCCTTCACCTCTCTCTCCGCCGCACCGTGAGGAGGCATGTCCGGACCGTGAACATCTCCGGGCGTGCCCGAGTCCGTAGACGTGTCTTCGCTACTTCTGTTTCTCAGCAGCGCCCTCTGCCTGGCTGGCACTCTACGATTCTCCGTCTCCAGCTGAATATCCGACTCGGGGGAGGTGACCCCAGTACTGTTGTCGTCTCTCCTTTGTTCACTTCCATATGCACTGACTTCATCGTCTTGAGAGCTGTAAAAGTCTTCATTAATGTTGATCTCTTCGTCATCGGCAATGGTCTGAGAGAACTTGAGGGTACCGTTCAGAACATCCCGTACCTAAAAAAAAAAAAGAAACAACAGATTATCACCCTGAAAATTTTAGGAGAAAATAAAAGCCATATATTTACATCAAGACGATTGTTTGTTTGTTTGTTTTTTGTTTTCTTGAGTAATGAGAAGCGCACTAACACAATAACAATCAGGTTGTGCAGGGAAAAACAAGACAGACTGAAACAACAAAGGGAAAGAAAAGAGAAGGGGCCTATCTGTGGCACCTTCCAACCACCAGGCTTCTGACAACATACCACAAACTCAAGGAAAATAGTTTTGGTTTCAGTGCATTCCACTCACTGCAACCTTAAACACTAGAGGCATCACATATTTGGTAAGAAATTTGATTACTTCTTTATGTTGATTTTTTAGTGCCCATGTTAGACTAAGATCGACTGTTGCCAAAAGTCATCACCATCAAGTGCCAGATCTGCAGCAGACATTGGCAATCATGGTTTGCCATTCATTCCTATGTTCCGTTGCTCTAAGAAAAAACCCTATATTATCCCGATCTTTACCAATCACCCATCCATTTAGGCTTTCCAAGTAAGTTGTTCTGGGTTTATCCCGACCTCATTTGTCTTCAGTTTTACCAATAAGAGCTAGATGTTCAAGGCACTTATGTCTATTCAACTGCCAAAGAGAATGCAGTTGTCTTTCCCTGATCGTTTTCTCCTGGAAGCAGCCTATGTAAGCTTCTTCAAGTATTCACTCATTTCATTTCTTTTCCTTCCACAAAATTCTCAACAGTCTCTTGAGACACCACATTTCTGCTGCTTTATTCAATTTTCCCAGTCTTGGGTAATTCAGTAATAGTCTACCATTCCCAGCCACATTGAAGGGCCATACAAAGTGTTGTAGAACTTTTATTTTGGTAGTCATTGAGATGTTTCTATTATTCAGGATTGGGCTCATTTTATTGAAACTACCTATTGCCATTGAAATTCTTCATTTCATTTCAGTGGAACTTTTGGCATTGGATGTAGTGTCTAGACATTTAACACATTAAACTCCAGCGACTGCTCCCTGCGGCTGGTGTGACGTACACAAATATAATAATTCTATGGAGTTTCTCATCTCAATAGCCATGAGTGCAAATGAAACTTCTTATGAAGCTTCTCTGACAGAACCAACACACCTTCTTTTTTTTTTAGTCAAAGCACATGAAATAAAAGTAGTTGAGACGTTTTCTAAAAATCAATTCCGTCAAAACATAGAAATCAATTCTAGGGTCAATGTGTTAAACTGTTGAACTTGTTTGACTTTTTCATCTTTGCTTGTAAATGAGATTATACATAGGATTTCCAGCTTCATTAAAATTAATAAGCATTGTTTTCTTCAGAAAAAAATAAAAGAGAAAGAAGATAAACAAAAGACAAAAAAAAAAAAAAGAAATCTTACTCTCACAAAGGTTTATGTCAATTTGCACTAAGACTCCATTTCAACTCCTAAATTCAGTATTAGATTAATAATAGGACTATAATGGGAAACATAGATCAAAGAGCTTCATTTGAGCAGCATTTGAATGCTTAACAATAAAAATAAAATAAACACTCCTAGCCCAAATTTCAAGAGAGGTACAATGCCAGACTTACCAGCTTGAGGCCAGCCAAAGACACCATAACCTCGTCATCAACATCCAAGTTCTGTTTAGACAAGTCTTGCTGCAGACGTCCTGAGATCAAACAGTAATAAAAAAAATGCTCAATATAAGTATAAGTTTGCAACAGATTAAACTTCCATCCAAAGACAGAACGACATAATTGCACATTTCCTGACTTTGAGAAAACCATTTAAAAAACTCTTGATGCTTGCTCTTGAGATCAGTTACTTTCAAAGTATTACCACTTTGAAAACTACTTTTTCGGATATACGTTGTTGTCCTGCCTTTGACATATGAAGGATAATGCATGAGAAGTACCATAAAACTCAAAAAACTAATTTAGTCAGATTTGAGAATTTAAGGTTGTTTAAAAAAAACAACCCCAGCATCATCATCATCCTTATCAACATAAAGAGCCCGATTTGAAACAGATACTGGCAGCCATAGTTCCCATCATATTTCTTTTATGCTGGTATGCTTTCAGAAAACCTAAATTTTCCTGGTCTTTCCCCATCACCCATCTGTTACAAGCTCTCTGAGTAATTTGTTCCTGGTCTACCTCTTCTTCTTCTGCCATCTATTTTTCCAGTGAGAGATGTTCAAAACCTTCATGTATATTCAAGAGTTGCAGAAGCTGCATTAGCTTCTTTCTAATAGTTTTTATTAGTGAGCAACCCACGTTGGATCCATCCAGCACTACCTTATTCGATTTCTTTTCCCTCCAAGACATTCAAACCAGTCTCCTAAGAACTTTTAGCACACACACACATGCACACATACACATACAAAGATACTCCTCTCCTTACCTTTGTCCATTATCTCCCATGAAAACCTTTTCTTCAAAATCCCCTCCTCCCCATCTCCCACCCCTCAAAAACACACACACACACACACACACACACACACACACACACAGATACTCCAGTCCCAATCCCTACCATTTTCCTGTGTCTCCCACGAAACCTTTCTTGATCAAAGTCCCC